ATACTGAATACCTGGCAGTGCAGCATGCGCTTGTTTCCAGCTACACTTTCATTTCAGGATCCTAGAGCGCAGAAGCAGCACGGTGTTCATGGATAGAGGGATGTAACATAGAAAGGCAGGGATATATCATCACGTGGTTAGTGTAGAGGTTATAAAGTCTGGCTTTGGAATTCAGACCCAGATGTTTCTTAAACACCCCATATCTAGTACCAGATGCCACACTGGAAGAAAATGAAGTGTATCATCCTCCCCCCCCGAGAAAACTGGTCTCCCTCTCCCCTGCCAGCACATGCTGGCGCCAGCCCTGCAATGTGTCTGCGGACCGGAGGGGAGATCATAGATCTCCCTCCCCGGTCTGCAGGCACTGTACTGACAGCCGGCGGGGGGAGGGAGTGAGAGAGGACCCGGGAGCTCAGCCTGCAGCTCCTCCGGGTCCTCCTCTCGCGAGCACGGAGCGTTGCCGCGGTTACCACGGCAATGCTACAATTCTCGCGAGAGTGAACTCTAGCCCTGGAGTGCAGGCTAGAGTTCACTCTCCCCACTGGGACCACCAGGGAATCCCCACCAGGGAATCCGACTGGACCACCAGGGACTAAGAAGTGTCCCCCCTCCTCCCAGTAAAGGTAAGAAGGGAGGGGGGACATAAATATTTATTTTAATTAAATAAATAAAAATATATATATTATAAAAAAAAGCCCCCCTACCCTTATCTCACACACACACACACACACACACTCTACACACATACACTGCCCCCCATACTGCCCCCATACACACACACACATTGCCCCCCATAGACACACATTGCCCCCATATATACACACACATTGCCCCCATACACACACACCCCCCATACTGCCCCATACACACACACTGCCCCCCATGCACACACTGCCCCCACACACACACTGCCCCCATACACACACACTGCCCCCATACACACACACACACTCCCCATACACACACACTCTACCCCCATACACACACACTCTACACACATACACTACCCCCATACACACACACTGCTCCCCATACTGCCCCCATACACATACTGCTCCCCATACACATACTGCCCCCATACACACACACTGCCCCCCATACACACACACACACTGCCCTCATACACACACACACTGCCCTCATACACACACACACTGCCCTCATACATACACACACTGCCCCCATACACACACTGCTCCCCATACACATACTGCTCCCCATGCACACACACTGCTCCCCCATACACACACACTGCCCCCATACACACACACTGCCCCCATACACTGCTGCCCCATACACACACATTGCCCACACTCACACATACACTGCAATACTCACACACACACACTGCAACTGTTACACACATATACTGTCCCACACATACACTGCATCCCTGACATACACTGCTGCCCTCACACACACTACAACCTTCACACACACACACTGCTCACACACTGTCCCCCTCACACACACACACTGCACCCCTTACACATTGCACCACTCACACACACCACTGCTGCTATGCCCTACTACAGTCCCATTTTCCAGCAGACCTCAGGTAAGTTGTCAAACTGTTCTTAAACGGTTTGACTGCTTACTCTGGGAGGGGGTCCCGGCACTATTGACACCATAACTACTACACTGAGCTGTAGTGGTTATTGTGTCTGGATTATTTCTTTAAATAATCTACAAGTGCCCCTCCCGAGATCAGGCTCTGGATCCGCCACTGTGCTATTGATGAAGTGTACATATATAAAATCAATGTGTATATAGGAATGAGAGAGTGAGTGTCTAGATGTGTGTGTTTACACTTGTGTGATTGTATAGTTATGTTTATGGTGGAAGGGAGGTTTAATAAAGAATAACAGAACAATATTTAAACTCCACAAAAAAAGTTAAATACAATTATAAAAAAGCGGAGTGGCTAGTTTAGACCAATTGTTTTATTATTTATTGTTTTACAATGCTGCCGCCCACCAGTGGCTAGTTACATGTGTTGTTTGCTAGTTATGTGTGTATGTATATATAGCGAATTAGGTGTGTTAGTGCTAGTTACGTGTGTTAGTGGCTTGTTATGTGTGTTGTTTGGTTAAAAAGCTGCTAGTTTTGTATCTGTGTTACTGTGTGGCTACCTAGTTGTAAGAGAGAAATTGGTTTATTTGGCATGTACTTGTGAGAGTGGCTAATAAGGTAAGATTAAAGGAACATTCCAAACCCTTTGATCTCCTTGTAATAGTGCCATTCTATAAAGAAAAGAGGTTAAGACCATATAATATTATTATTAATATCATCAGCATTTATATAGTGCCAACATAATCCGTGGCATGTTACAATATTATAAAGGGGCGGATTTAACAGTAAATTAGACAATTACAAAATATTACAGAAACAATAGGTTGCTCAAAAGAGCTTACAATCTAGCCGATTAAGCTCATAAATGTCATTACATAATTATTTAATTATATTATTGTTCTGTTTAATGATTAACCTTGTAAATTTTCAATTATTCTAATGTTTTACTAGTATCTCTTCTTATCGGGTACACAAATGCCCTCTGCTGATCCAGAAACAGAACTAACACAAGAAGGACAATCCTATTATATTCCAAGAACTATTACATAAATAGGGGAAAAAATTTAACTAATTATGCTAATTAATCATAAGAACTATTGTGCTGTGAGACATACTCCTGAGGCTGCATATTTGCTGGTGACAAATCTCTGTTCTCGCTCTCATGCTTCTCAAATGAAAAATGGAAAATAATAAGATATGCAGAATTCAGTGTATACAGGAATAGGATACTGCAGGCTGTGAAAGAATACACAGTAAGCATTCTTCCTATCCCAGACCCAGCAGGAAACCTCAGTACCATCACTGTGAGATTTTGTCAGTTACTGTACTTAATATTGGTAAAACCGCTTACTTAACTTCATTTGTGTTGCAACAAAATACAGAACTATACTGTTAAATCATTTATTCCTTCAGGTTAAAAAATATATAGTTAGCCTGATACATATCTGTAAGCAGAAAAGATCATCGTACTTAATCTAATGTCCACTTTTCTTGTCCCACATAAAGTTCTAGCCTTGACTGACCTTCTTTTAGAGTTAGAAAGGTCTGGTGTCTGTCTTACATGAAGTTAATGACGAGAGATCCGAATCCACTGGCATGTCTATTCTGCCTTATACACACAGTTTATTTTCAATAAAATCATGCAGACATACTGTGGCGAAACCGACCTCGCCACTGGGCTTAGGAGAAGACTGATTGCCAGCCTCCTGCCATGTGACTATGGCCCGTGGGATGTATTTCCCTTTAAAGACATTATTTGGGCTGATTGTATTTTGAAACACTTTTTCTGCCCCTTTGAATACATGAGAAGGTTCCCCCGTTTCCTGTCTATTGTTCTCCAGCAGGGCGTTGTCCCAGGGACACTGCCAGACCAGTTGGAATTTGTTGCTATGGTTTAACCCCATGGCAATTTGACTGTGTTTGTGGGATCTGAGCGCTGTCCGGATATAGTGAGCGCTCAGATCCAAGCTATCTGGGGACAGGTTGAATGTGGGGGTTCTGTTAAGTACAATAAGAATTATGTATTTTTTTACATAATTTTTTTACTGTTGTTGTGAATAGAGCTATTTTCTGTATGCTGGAGGTAATTGGCTTACCCCACCCAAGCCATGCTTGCAGATGGTCACAAAGGGACTTTCAACTAGCTTTTGACCACTGGACCAATTTGTATGATTTTGACGTATATTTGTATTTGGAGTATGCTGATTCTGAAAATGTGTGAATGTGATGTATACTTTTAGAGTTATGAATATTGTGTAAAACTGTGTATTTTCCTGCCTGTGATAATTAAGTTAGACCATTGTGTTCAGTAATTATATCACAGGCAGAGGGGAGTGTCTGAGTGTATTGTACTTATTGATTGGTTGTTCTGCAAAACCCTGTGGGCAGTACTATGTTTGTAGAATGTGAATAAATGAGGTTGTATGTGCCAGAACAGACAGTTCTACTTCACCCTCAATTTAGAGTGCCGTCTCTTATTGGGGGAATCTGCTACAAGGGATTGCTATGCTTGTCATACTCCCTTGCTAAATCACTACTAAGCTCTTCTAAGAGCTTGTTCCTGTCCTGCTCTCTGGAGGAGTCCACAGTGGTTATGGTGTCAGCTGGAGTGCTTGGAGCTCTCAGGAAGCGCTAGGAGCATCCTTCAACGGAGGTACCCAGTCGAGGTGCCAGGTGATTCGTTACACATACATTTAACATAAAGGAAAAATGAGCTATAGAAAGACAATTAAAAAAATAATTGTCTGCATAAACCAAAACCATATACAGGGAACCACAAACCCTTAAAGGGACACTGTAGTCACTATAACCGCTTTGTCTCTTTGAATTGGTTATAGTGCCTGGAGTGCCCTGGCACTGTCCCTCCATTCAGTGTTGCACCATGTTTGTGCAGTATGCCACAAAATAAGAGTCCCTGGCCACCCACAGTCCGGCCCCTTCTGTATGTGTAGCTAAGGCAGAGATTACACACTTCCTTGTTGTCATACCCATTCATACCGTCAGTTGGAGCTCTGACAGGTTAAAAGCAGTCAGCTGACACTCTCAGCCAATCACAGCTACCCATTGCTGCTCAGGGTAATGCTTCCTTATTAGCCAAAGCAGCACAGAGGGGATGGACTGCCGGGGTCTCTTGTTTAGCATTAAAACATTACAACATTAAAAACTGTTTAATGCGGAAAGAAATGATGGCACCAGGGGACTCCATACACTATAACCAGTTTAATGAGATGAAGCAGATACAGTGCCTACGGTGTCCCTTTAATTAAGTATATTATTTGCAGAAATTTTCAAGATGGATATAATGTGACATAGCTTGACATAAGCCCTAGTTTGCCAGCTTCATTGTCAAAGCATATATTAGAATAGCTTCTTATCGAGGTTTGGGGCCACCAGAAGGGCCTTTTAACCTGTCATTGTAAGAACAATGTGTACATGAACGAGTTAAGCACTTCTCTAATGACTGTCACACTGATTGCTTATGCAGGGCTAGTGCAAGGATTTTTGACATCCTAGGCAAAACTGTACTTTTTTTGTCTCCTTCCACAATTAAAAGGACACATTAAGCACCATCATAATAAACTTATAACATTTGCACAGGTTAGGGCGCAAATAGGTCCCATCATGGTCTACCTAAGCTGCATAAAATCACTTTAATATTCACCTTACCTTTTTTAATAGTGTCTTGCAATGAACATAAAACATATCCTCACCTCCTTTGTCAAAGGTTTCAATTTGTGCAAATTGTGTAGCTGCCAGGTTTGGCCAGAATAATTACCAAAAAAAATTAACAAAAAAAAAACAACTTAAATGGGGTTATTGAGTATATAAAGTAATAGATGCTGCACTACTACAGACTACTTCACCACATATCCTACAAACCCAGAATCTCCATGGATATGGAAAATGCAAAGCATTCAAGACACATTTTACAGGCAAAGGGATTAACATATATGCACCTGTCTTGCAAAGACTTATTATTATTATTATTATTATTATTATATAGCGTCAACAAATTCCGCAGCGCTTTACAATGAGTGAACTAACAAACATGTAATTGTAATCAGACAAGTTTGACGCACAGAAACAGAGGGGTTGAGGGCCCTGCTCAATGAGCTTACATGCTAGAGGGAGTGGGGTATAGTGACACAAAGGGTAAGGGAATAGATTGGTAGAATAGCATAATGTTTCCACCTCCATGTTTGACGGTGGGGATGGTATTCTTGGGGTCATAGGCAGCATTCCACCTTCTCCAAACACGTCAAGTTGATGCCAAAGAGCTAGATTATGGTCTCATCTGATCACAACACTTTCACCCAGTTCTCCTCGGAATCATTCTGATGTTCATTGGCACACATCAGACGGGCCTTTACATGTGCTTTCTTGAGCAGGAGGACCTTGCGGGCACTGCAGGATTTTAGTCATTCATGGTGTAGTGTGTTACCAATTGTTTTCTTGGTGACTTTGGTCCCAGCTGCCTTGAGATCAGTAACAAGATCCTCACGTGTAGTTCTGGGCTGATTCCACACCATTCTCATGGTCATTGAAACTCCACAAGGTGAGATCTTGCATGGAGCACCAGACCATGGGAGACGGACAGCTATTTTGTGTTTCTTCCATTTGTGAATAATCGCACAAACGGTTGTCACCTTCTCACCAAGATGCTTGGCGATGGTCTTGTAGCCCATTCCAGCCTTGAGTAGGTCTACAATCTTGTCCCTGACATCCTTGGACAGTTTTTTTAGTCTTGGCCATGGTGGAGAGTTTGGAATCTGATTGATTGCTTCTGTGGACAGGTGTCTTTTATACGGGTAACAAACTGAGATTAGGAGCACTCCCTTTAAGAGAGTGCTCCTAATCTCAGCTCCTTACCTGTATAAAAGACACCTGGGAGCCAGAAATCTTGCTGATTGATAGGGGATCAAATACTTATTTCACTCATTGACATGCAAATCAATGTATACCTTTTTTGACATGCGTTTTGCTGGATTTCTTTTTTTATTCTGTCTGTCACTGTTAAAATGCATCTACCATTAAAATTATAGGCTGATCATTTCTTTGTCAGTGGACATTCAAAATGAGCAGGGGTTCAAATCCTTTTTTGTCTCACTGTACTTTACACATTTTTACTGCAAACAGGGGGACAGGAACAGGAACACTATAGTGTTATGATTACAGGTTTATTCCTAACACTTTAGTCTGCCTTTAAAGGAACATTCCTGGGTGACTACAGCTCCCATAGAAACGTCATCTCAATTCTAGGGGCTGAAGTCACTGAATACTGTCTTACCTTATGGGGTTAAGACATCTTCAATGGCTTAAGCAGAAAGTTGTCTCCCTGAATTCTCAATAGCACTATCTCCTGTCTCCTCTGCTGGTCCCCCACAATGACCAGCAAAGCCAGCAGAGGAGAAACTTTCAACCTATTGCTGACCACCCATTGTGTTCTGACACTCGCAACCTATCACTGGTACCCAAGGCAAAACCTTCCTGATCAATGTGCTTGCGGAAGGAGAACTGAAGAGGCACAGCTGTTGTGTGCAAGGGAGGAACAACTTTGGGGTCCAACTAATACAAAATGTTATAATTTTGCAAAGTATGATGATGCCCTGGCACTCCTGCCTCTATGTTGGCCCCACTGAGATGAAGCTATTATGGGGTAGGAGTGTTGCTTTAATTGCATTTAAAATATACACTTAAAATTGCATATTACTTGCCAGATTGATGTTAAATAAAAGGAATTACACTTTTCCTCTTGATACACTTTACAAATCAACCACATCAATGTCACTTGTTTTTATTACTAGGTTTATTTCTAAAACCGAACATATCAATATATATTCATTTATTCTAAAGGTTCTGTAACATTTGAATTCTCACCGGTTTACTGGAAACTATTGTAAAAAATTATATTCCTATATTTTTATATTACTATAAAATTATGAAAGCCCCTTTATTAACTGATTTGTGGTGGGTTCTAGATGATATTATGTAAAGTATATTTATGGATTTAATTTCATTGCACCCAGTCTCTTACCTTCTATCAAAAGATATGTGCCCATACCTTTTCCAAAACCAAATGGCTTCTACAAATGGTGTCATTGCAAAATGTGCAAATTCTCCCCAGGTCCATAAAGAATTTTACAGTACTATTACTGGTAGAACTTTGGAAATAAATTGTATTAATTGTTCATTCAGAAATGTAATTTACCTGCTTCAGTGCCCATGTGGAGAACAATATGTGGGACGAACAATTAGGACACTTAGAGAACATATACTGGAGCATTTGCAAGCCATAGTTAAGAAGGATGTCAAACACATCAAACACAGTGTCCCCAGCCACTGCAATACCTGCACCAATAAAATTGAAAACTTATGCCAGTATGGGTCTGAACATTGACCTTGACAGTATGGTTTTAAGTGACCGTTTTGATGATTTTTTTTATGGTTTTTTCAGTTTTCCCTTTTTCTCCCCCTTGTTTCTTAAAGTCACATATATTATTGGTTAGGGGATAATTAAATGCATGGAAGATGCAGTTTGTACAATAATATCTCTCTCTCCCCATTTTTATATTATATATATATATATATATACACACACCATGTTCCAAATTATTATGCAAATTCTATTTAAGTGTCACAAAGATTAAATATTTTGTTTTTTAGTTTAACTCATTGATGGCATTGTGTCTCAGGGTTCTTTTGATCACTGAAAACAATCTCAGACACCTGTGATAATTACATTGCCAGGTGAGCCCAATTTAAAGGACCACTCTAGGCACCCAGACCACTTCAGCTTAATGAAGTGGTCTGGGTGCCAGGTCCTTCTAGGGTTAACCCATTTTTTTATAAACATAGTAGTTTCAGAGAAACTGCTATGTTTATGAATGGGTTAAGCCTTCCCCCAATTCCTCTAGCAGCTGTCTCATTGACAGCCACTAGAGGCGCTTGCGTGCTTCTCACTGTGAAAATCACAGTGAGAGCACGCAAGAGTCCATAGGAAAGCATTGATAATGCTTTCCTATGTGACCGGCTGAATGTGCGCGCAGCTCTTGCCGCGCGTGCGCATTCAGCCGCATGGGAGGAGAAGAGGAGGAGAGGAGGAGGAGAGCTCCCCGCCCGGCGCTGGAAAAAGGTAAGTTTTTACCCCTTTCCCCCTTCCAGAGCCGGGTGGGAGGGGGACCCTGACGAGTATGTTTTCCTGGCACTATAGTGGTCCTTTAAGGAAAAACTTTTAAAGGAGGGTGTTCCACATTATTAAAGGGACACTCCAGGCACCCAGACCACTTCTGCCCATTGGAGTGGTCTGGGTGCCAACTCCCACTACCCTTAACCCTGCAACTGTAATTATTGCAGTTTTTTATAAACTAGACAGCCACTAGAGGGCACTTCCTGCTCTATAGCACAGAAAATCTGTGCTAGAGCGTCGCTGGACCTCCATCATCGCTCAATTCCCAATTGAAAAGCATTTGCCGCACATGCGCATTAGGTCTCCCCGGCCGTTGGGCGGGATCAGTCTCACCCACCGGCATACGTAATGACTGGGATGAGTGCCGGTGAGAAGAAACCACCTCTGAGGGACATCGGCGGGGGTCTCAGGTAAGTGACTGAAGGGGTTTTCAACCTTCAGCTACCGGGGATTGGGAGGTGGGAGGGAGAGGGGACCTGCAGTGCCAGGAAAACGGAGTTTCCCTTTAAGCAGAGCACCATTTTCATGCAATATGGGGAAGAAAAAGGATCTCTCTGTTGCCGAAAAGAGTGAAATAGTTCAATGCCTTGGACAAGGTATGAAAACATTAGATATTTCACAAAATCCTAAGCGTGATCATCGCATTATTAAGAGATTTGTGGCTGATTCAGAGCACAGACGGGTTCGTGCAGATAAAGGCACATTGAGGAAGATTTCTGCCAGATCCATGCATCGGATCAAGAGAGCAGCTGCTAAAATACCATTACATAGCAGCAAACAGATATTTGAAGCTGCTGGTGCCTCTGGAGTCCCATGGACATCAAGGTGTAGAGTCCTCCAGAGTCTTGCAACTGTGCATAAACCTTCTATTCGGCC